TATAACTTTGTGACAATAAATGTGCAGTGCAATACCATTATAGGACTCAAAATTGCTAATTGATCATATAGTTTCCTAGCTTCTCTAATATTACAAGCCTGAATGGTTGTTTGCAGGCAACAGCAACCTCCTCCAAAAACAGTAGCATCCATATATATGTGTTCTGGTAACGCTTCTTCACAGTCATAAAATAAATTTGAACTTTTTTTATCATGAAAAATCGGTATATTGATAGTGACGTTTGATCCTCGACGATTTCTAATACTATCACTAACTGCTCTTGTTTATTTAACATTAATTATATGTCGTTATATAAAAATAAGTGAACAAATAGGGGGAGGGTCAGTAGAAACACACCAAATTTTAAATAAATAAATTAAGCAAAATAACTCAACAATGGCTTAATCAAATTTAAATTTTTTTTTTTAAATTAATTCTATAAACTTATAGAATTTATTTTATTTTATTTATTTATTTATTTTTAAAAAACAATATATTTATAAATTTGATTAAGCTTTTATTTAGGTATTTTCTTTCAGATTAGTTATTTTTCTTTAAAGGTTTAAAAAATTCATTAAAAAGATTGGTGCGTTTCTACTAATTCACTTTCAAATATATTATAAACTACATACTGGTATCTTGCGTGGGGGTTTATTATCTCATCTGGCACAAACGAGCTTTTTAATTTAGGCCCAAATGGTTCATGATGAGGCTCTAAAAATCGACCCGGGCAGCCAAGGCGTGGATAGTTGGACAAAGTAATTATACTTTCATTTGGGCTTAAATATTTGGATGCAATTTCCCTTCTGAGTTTCATATTTTGCTCAACACGAAGCAGGCTTTTTAAAGAGCTCCCATAAGGAATACCAGGTACTCCTAATTAAAATTTTATAAATACTAAAATAATAATTCACAGTAAACAAATTAAAGTAAGGCTGGCACCTTCGATCATAAATGCTGCATACTCGGGTTGCCATAATGCTTCGATTGCTTCACTATAAATCATAATTTAATTAATAAGGTCGTACAATTGATCCACTAGATATAGTTATAAACGTACTCTTTCCTCAATGCTTCCTCTGCTTCTTTTTGTAACTCATGTAAAATGTCTGAAGCTTTTAATGATAGCTTTGCGTTCTTGTCTCCGTCATCATACGCAATTATCATATATTCAATCTACGTAAAGAAAAATAATCATTGAACTATATAAATAATGAAATCAATTTGAATAAATTACCTCGTCACCCCATAATAAACAATCCTTCTCTCTATTTTTTGATTTATTGTAAATTGATAAAAATTGGGTTATCCCATGATTACGAATATGGTCAGCATATTTTTTCGCTTGTTCCCAAGGAAGAGG